GATGTTATTTTAGGACTCAAATTATTCGAAAACGTTTTCAGATTCGGAAGAGAACATATACAAACGCGTGCTAACACCAGTAAAAATTGCCGGATGTCGATTAATAGAAGAATGATTACAACTTTCGAAAAATGATAATGAGTGAATTAGGGGCAGAACGACAGTACCGATATACCAAAAGCTGCCAAAGTGCAAGGCATTGAGAAAAAATCAATGGAAAGAAACCTTGGTCGTTCCTTGATCACTTCACCATTCGTCTTGTTGATAGATGAGATCAACTTGACCACTGTACAGGGCTCACAAAGTGAATGACAGTATAATTCGCCCTTTGTTCCTTTCATGATTGGCACAACGATATCAAAGACGACGATGCGTGCGACGAAACGGTTACATGGCATAAGAGCATCCTTAAAACGGTAATTATCACCTTCTTCGAAAAAAAGATGAGTTTGAATGACGACGGAAGTTTCCTAATTCAACACGTGCATGAAATTCGACACGCAAGGAAACATCGTCGACACACTATTTTCATCAAGATGATAAAATTGATACCTGCCCACCACGCACGATCACGTGTCCTGCGTGAATGGTGTCCGGTTCAAAGGCGCCGTTCAAAGTCAGAATAGCTTGATCGCCAGCCACACAACTGTCCACATATCCACCGTTATCGTTGGAACATGCTAGGAGAGGAAGTAAGCTATTCAGACCAAGGGTTAGTTGTAGAGATCAAATTGAGCAAACCTTTAACCACAGCGGCATCCGCATTCGGCATTATGTATACCTTATCACCTGCATCTACTTCTCCAGATTCAATTCTTCCACTTAAGCTCAGCTGGTTACTAGTAGCCTGAACAACATTAACATGTGTTGGTGGACTGTATATGGCATCGGATGCAAACGCTCAAATAAGAGAACTTTAAGAGCAAAAGATTAAAAAGACATCGAATACTGACCTTGAAAACATCATTTATGACTATTCGCAAAGGTCCTTCACATGCCCGAGGAGGTGCCGAAAATGTATCTGGAAAAGCGAACTACCATTTCAGGAAGGTTGAAGCAAGGTGAAAGAACTTCTTGCCGGGTTCTAAGGTCCAAATGCTCCTCCGGGTCACAGTTTTTGATTCAAAACTTTAGCAACATTACGGAGGGCGTAGGTAGCTGTGACAGAGCGCAACTTTTCGGCCGATGTCAGAGATGCGAATACAGCGATTTGCTAACGAATCGCTAGATTCGCTGGCCAATCAGCTGGATACGAGCGTTGCACCAGCGAATCGAGCTGTGTACCAGCGGATCGAACGATGTACCAGCGACTCGACACTGTTTGAAAGTGGCGGACCCAACGTTCAAAGGAAAGTCCACTAAAGGAACACACTCTTGAAAATGGCGGCACTTCCTTTAAACGTTGGGTCCAGCCACTTAGTCCCGATACATTGTTGATACAGCGCACTTGCTTGGTCATGGTACACCAGCTCGTTCGCTGACTCATGACCGCTCGTATTCGCGTAGCGATCGCTGAATTCGCAAGTCTGACATCAGGTCGTGCCGCTTTGCGTAGGGTGAATTTTTTTTTTTTTTCGCATCGGAACATCCCAGTCCACCAATGAATCTGATGTTACTTGGGTTCTCCATCGAAAAAGCTTCGCACTGCGAAAACCGGTAAGTTGGTTCTGTTCTAGCGACCCACATCCCATTTCATCATATTTCATAAAAGATAAGTAACAAAGCAATAACGCTACCTATAAGCTCTATCAAGCATTCGCCAGAATACCATTTTCGAAGAGGATGTTCTTCGGGAACACGATCTGACAGATTTTCGCCGCTCAAACCGGATACAGGCACAAATCGAATCTTACTGAACCGTAATAACTTCGAAACACATGTACCCAAAAAAAAATAAAGGATCATTGAGAGTCAATAAAGGAATACCCACCTGTTTGGTTAAAAAAGTTTTCATCACAGCTTCAATTTCGAGGAATCGCTCATGAGACCAGTCTACCGTGTCTAGCTTATTTACTGCCACAACCAGCTGCCCAACTCCTAATGTGCATTCATTACAAAGTTGTTAGTGAAAAAGTTACACGAGCGATGGACTCACCGAGCGATCGTAGCAGCATGGCGTGTTCCCTAGTTTGACCGCCGTTCTCGAATCCAGTTTCAAAATTCCCACAGTCAATTGACAACAATGATACAGCGTCAGCTTGTGAGCCCTAAATGAACATCATCACTCATACTCTCTGCACAGCAAATCTATATTTGCTCTTCTGAGACTCTCGTCACTACGGCGATTGCGTCGCATGGACCACCGGACGGAGCCGCCAGCGAACCGCGAGCGCGCCTCGTTCACAAAGTGCGCAGCGGGCGATGACTCATCACGATCGATATCGGTTGGCAGAGGGGAGATTAATCATCCTCACCCATGGTTCAATTGTTGTGCTCGGTTTTTTTTTTTCAAATGGTGTGATGATTATTCTCCCCTCTGCCAACCGATATCGATCGTGATGAGTCATCGCCCGTTGCCCACTCTTGTGGCCTGGCGGCTCCGTCGCTGGCGGCTCCGTCGCTGGCGGCTCCGTCGCTGGCGGCTCCGTCGCTGGCGGCTCCGTCGCTGGCGGCTCCGTCGCTGGCGGCTCCGTCGCTGGCGGCTCCGTCGCTGGCGGCTCCGTCGCTGGCGGCTCCGTCGCTGGCGGCTCCGTCGCTGGCGGCTCCGTCGCTGGCGGCTCCGTCGCTGGCGGCTCCGTCGCTGGCGGCTCCGTCGCTGGCGGCTCCGTCGCTGGCGGCTCCGTCGCTGGCGGCTCCGTCGCTGGCGGCTCCGTCGCTGGCGGCTCCGTCGCTGGCGGCTCCGTCGCTGGCGGCTCCGTCGCTGGCGGCTCCGTCGCTGGCGGCTCCGTCGCTGGCGGCTCCGTCGCTGGCGGCTCCGTCGCTGGCGGCTCCGTCGCTGGCGGCTCCGTCGCTGGCGGCTCCGTCGCTGGCGGCTCCGTCGCTGGCGGCTCCGTCGCTGGCGGCTCCGTCGCTGGCGGCTCCGTCGCTGGCGGCTCCGTCGCTGGCGGCTCCGTCGCTGGTGTCCAGCGACGCAATCGCCGAGTCTGACCGAGGTCTGAGCCGTTTCCACAGGCTTGCACAAATCTCATGATCGTGTGTGTTTGTCCGTGGTGTGTGACTCCCTATATGCCGCCAACCTCAGCTACTTATAACTTACCTCGTGATAATATTGGATAGACATCTTGTGTCCGTGCATCCAATAATAAAACTCCTCTCGATTTTATCCAAACGTTTTTTTGCAATACATCGGTTTCCACACGAGATCTGAATAATATACATGTAGTGATTACTATTGGTATTGAAAGCTTACTTCCTTGGAAAATCTTACCGTTCCTCTTCCGTTTCATCCAACACCCAAGCGAATGCAAATGAAGCTTTGCCAGATCTAGCTGACTCCTGCTTGTACTTGTGAAGAGTTCGTTGATCTACACAACCCAGCTAAAACTTATTACCATTAAGATGTTTTTTCTTCATCACACCCTGTTAATTCTCCGAGTAAGAGCTTGATTTGTTAGAAAAATCTCTCCAAATGGGTACCCATCGTTTTTGAATGAAATCTCGATGTTTTGACTTCCATGATACACTACTACACAAAGATATCAAGCACAACCATTGATAAAGGTTGATGGAAGTAGTGACTAATAGAGCGGGAGAATACAGTGAGCAGAAATAAGTAGAAGTAAAACTAACACGGCAGAGAAGGTGACCCATAAGTGTGCTTTTACCCGCATCGACATGACCCACAACAACCAAGTTGATCAATTCCTTGCCTTCGTCGCGTCGACGCGAACGTCTCGGTGTCGTAGGTGTGGATGTGATCGCTGCCAACTGACTAAGCCTATAAAGAAAATAGGATGAAATATAGAAGGAAGTCGCACTGAAGTTTCACGACGCTATCACATTTTGCGACTGCCCTGCGCGTCATTCGCAGTTCGAATGTGGAATAAATACGTATCGATCATGCGATCGCACGATCGACATGGATACACTGCCTCAGAAATCAGAAGCAGACCATACACCAAAGTGACGACGACCTCTACAAAATGTAATGTTTTCTGCCAATGAAATGATTAGCCTGTTGCAGTTGTATTCTATCAGTTGTCACTAATTACAACTATCATTTACCACTATCAGCTATCACTATGAATTACTAATTACAAGATTGGAGGCTGTCGTCACTTGTGGTGTGTGTTCTTCATCCTACAACTGCAAGACGGTCGCAAACTATGACCGCAGCCCTAATTCTTCATGCCGGAAAAATCCTTCAGAACGTGCCATGCTTTTTCGAGCGCAGATTTCTGCATAAAGATTGGGCCATCCTTTACAGATCGAGTGTGGAATAGATACGTATCCATCGTGTGATCCCCCGATCGACGCGTACCTTCTCCACATTCGAACTACAATTAAACTGCAAAGCCACCTATCCATCGTAGCCAGCCATCGGGTACGTCCGTGGAGCAAATATGGTTTATTTTCATGAGCAACCCCATGAACGACAGAAAAAGGTGGAACATCAGCTCACGATAATATGTGGTCTGATTCTAGGATGCTTCGCCTCAACCCCAACGATGCACCGCAATTAATGGAAGTCGATGAGTGCAGAGGTCATCAGGCAACGACTAAGTTAGGGTTTCCGTCGCTTACGATTTGGCTTTCAAAGGTCGCTCAATGATATAACATTGCTCTGGCGAGTGTTGTTCGCTAGGAAGGGAAGCGACTTCACGTCGCCAGCGTGCGAAGAGCGGTTCTCTCCTAGCCAACCACACCCTTGCCTGTACTCTATGCACATGGAACCCTATACATACAAAAACTGCTTTAAAAAGCGCGACAGGCCCTCGAGAATCTTTGTAGTTAGAAAGGAGGGAACTCGCAATGGAGAAAAAGTATACCTATGAGAACTGGAATTCGAAGGAAGATTCCCAAGTGGAGGATTCGGTCCTGTCTTCTTTCTGGTTGGTGATTTCGAATCGCTGCGAGACGGTTCAGATACTCGTAGATTCGTAATATTTGGAATAACAGGCTGAATTAGGCAAATCAACCCATCTACGAAACAGGCCCACTCTACAGAATTACAGAAAAAAATGAAACGAAATAGAGCCCAATCTTTGCTGGGAAGGTTGTAAAATACGCCATTTGATCTCTCAATTGATGATGCAAAGAACCTATCGTTTTCTTGATCTGAAAACTAGTCGAAATCGCTATTGAAAGGTTTCCTATTGAATTATGATAGATGCGAATTAACTTGAGAGTCACTGCACGCAACCATAAGTGATATTCTTGTGCGAACCTAGCCAAGCTTCATGACAAAAATGAAAACTCGAAAGCTCACGCAGGTCTGAGCGAAATCTTAAACTGTGTCATGCTAAACTTAATAAGCACATAGCTGATAAAGAACCTAAGAAAATAAGGCGTGTCAATATTTTGAGAAAGGCTATGTGGTAGAAGGGTCGGTCATATTATCGAACTTCACAGCACGCGACCGTGCCTAGTTTCAATCGTGATTTTTTCGTATTCTATTTGTACTCCTACGCTACTGGTACATTACATCAAATAAACATAGTGGACACGCGTCACTACGTTTCGGAGCTCCTTCAGACTTACATTTGGTTTAGCGACGCATTGCTCTAAACACAATTGTGGTAGTTTCTTTAGCAGATGCATGCCTCCTTCTCATAACTCGAGAGGTTGTAAAAGAAGCCTCTGAACAAAACGAAGCTTCGTTCCATTACCTAGTCACAAAGCCAAATGGAGCAAGTGACAGCTAAAGAAAGGAAGTTCAAGCCCCAGAGCGCTGCTTTAGTCGCCATAGCTTGGCTTTTCACTTCATCTCGCTACTAGCTATCGTGGATTACAAAAAGGTTGTTCTTAAGGAATTCACTGGAATTTCTTGTTACCGCCACCATATTAAAAAAATATTCAACACAAATTTGACCGTGATACTATATGGAACAAATAATGAATGAGTGCGCAATAATTAATGGGAACACCTCCAAGAATCGATGCATACCTTTTCTTCATTAGTAGCCATTGGTGGCAGGGAAATCACTATGGGCTTCGAAGTGCGCTGAACATCATCAAAACCAAGCCCTGGCGGTGGCCCAAGATCAATCGTTGGTTGAGTTGCCGACGTTGAAGCAGCCATAGGCTGTTCAACTTTATTTTCGGCACCTGGGAACATTATACATTCGCTCATGAATACTATTCTATTCACTAGTTCATACCTACTGAAACCAATCATTAAGAAAGGTACCTCCGTCGACATCCATATCGAATATTTGACCCTCTGCATAATCAGGAC